AGTGAGTGAGTGAGTGAGTGAGGCAGTGAGTGAGTGAGTGAGTGAGACAGTGAGGCAGTGAGTGAGTCCCTTTCACACGTTTTGGACACATTATCAGGAGAGACTAGTCCCTGGAGAAGGACATCATGCTCAGAAAAGTAGAGGGGTCAGCCACAAGAAGACGCTAGACAAGACGGAATGACACAGTGGTTACAACAATGGGCTCAAGCATATCAATAATTGTGAGGATAATGCAAGGCTAGGCAGTGTTTTTTGTTGGGTTCTATGGTGTTTTATAGTGATCCTATAAATTAGCACCTAACAGCATCTTCCTATGCTGTTTCACTAGTGGATTAAACACAGACACCTTGGAAATAATGTAAATTTAAGTAAAGTGCCAGTATTCACAGCTCTGTGGTCACTAGAACCATTAAATGAAATATGGAATGGATAAAATTTGGTAGTGGTGAGTGGGAGCGCTTGGCTATGGCCTTGGCTATGTTGAATTTGCAGTTCCAGTAGGAAAACAAAGTGGAGCTAACCTCAGCTCTTGCATGATGATTCTCCTTAAGAAAGCATACGATGAGAAGTATAGATTTGGGAATTGTTGGCATGGGGAGCCTATCTGAAGCCATCAAGAGATTGTAGAGTGAAGCATTGCTTAGGATAAAGAAGGAGAGAGATCATGTAGAAGCTAGCAGGGGTTACCTAGGAAGAACAGATCATCAACGTGAAGGGACAGGAGAAATATGTGAATGAGGAGATACGGAATGGCATCATGGTATTTTAAAGGTCAAGTTGCATAAAAGGACAGTGTTGCTAGCGTCTTGAAAATTAAGTTTGTGGGCCAGAGGAAGGAATCAGTGGAAAGGATTGAGAACATTTAAAGTAGTTCTTACTTTTCATTCAAAACTATTACCTTTGTGGGTGCCAAGACCCACCCAGACTATGTAGTCTGGTTTTAATGAAAACATTATAAATTAATATTAACTGGACTGCACCTACAGACTTTACCTCTGCAAATGTAGCGAGAAATGTGGCCCACTAGACCACTGGGTAAAGAGCCCTGGTGGCTGTAGTGGGCTGCTCACCACAGGGCCTGCACTTCCAGTCAAGAGTTACCGGCTTGGAAACTCACAGGGGTAGTTCCACTGTCCTACAGGCTTGCTGTGAGTCGGAATCTGTTCCAGGGCAGTGAGTTTGCAGAGACCTTTGAGTGAGGAACCTTGGGGTCATAGCTGGTCACGGGTTGGGCTGCTAACCGCAGGGTCAGCAGAAAGATGGGAGTTTCTGCTCCCATCAGACTTGCCCTTTCTGAAACCAGAGGCGGCTTGACCCTGTCCTCTGGATCAGAAGGGACTTGATGGCAGCGAGTTTGGGGACCGCCGAGTTCGTTATAGATTCTGATGAATCTCCAGCTTTCATTGATCTTGACCATCTTGATCGAATCTTTTTCTAGTCCTTAAAAAAAAAGACCTTAATATATATATTGAATATGGTCTACCAATATGGCCTCACTTTAAAAACAAAAACAAAAACCCTGCCTGGTAGATAAATACAGATTATTTTAACTTTTGGTTATATGAATGTTCACATTATGTTTGTACTAAAGCTGTTCTAGGAAACAGGTATTTGAACACCCAATAATGCAGTATATTGATTTGTATGTATATTTCTATGACTAGCTAACCCATTAAAATTTTTGAGTGTGTGTGAGTGTATTAGAGGCGTGCTGTTTGTGCGTGTTGTGTGTGTGTGTGTGTGTGTGTGTGTGTGTGCGCGCATGCTGTTGAAAATGTTGCAGTACATCGTCTGTCTCTGTCTTCACGCCCTAAGGGTGGGCTGAGGTAGAGAGGGTGTGACGCTGGTATCTGTGTGAACTCGGCCTTATGATGCTGAGTGTGGTTCACCAGCTCCCTCCTCCCTTCTCCTCCCCACTCCTTTCCACCAGCGCCACAGCAACATCCTCAGAGTCTAGGCGAACGGCGCCCAGCGAGGGCACCGAGCCTCCCAGCGCCAGCAACCCGCGGCCCGGGAGACGACCGCGCCTCGGCACCGCCAGTCTCCCGAGCGCGATGGCCAAGACCCGCAGGGACAGAAACAGTTGGGGTGAGTAGCAAAGGGGAACTTCTGCAGCCTGTCCAGGCACTGGCCCT